GACCTCGGAGAAACAGGTTCCCGTAGGTGGGTACCTTTGCCTGGCTTCTGGTGGCTTTATTAGAAACCTTTGGCATTCCTTGGCTTCAGTTGTTCCACTCAGTCCCCACCTTTGTTGTGTGGTGTTCATTCTGCTCACGTGTCTTTGTCTCTGCATGACCCTCGTCTGATAAGGACACCTGTCATACTGGATTAGGGACCCACCCCGCTCCAGGTGAGCTCTTCGTAACCAGCCCGACCTGCAATGACTCGGCTTCTAAGCTCCCATTCAGAGCTCTTGAGTGCAGGAACCTTGGCATCTCTTCTTTAGAAGGAGGCATTCAGCCCCTAACACAAGTACAAAGTACACTGACATCCTAACCCCAGCACCCCCGAGTACGACTGTGCAGAGATCAGGTCTTAGAGAAGGAAGGTTGGAAAGGGAGAGTGTTGGAGTGGGCCTTCGCCCAGCATGATCAGAGACTTTATCTGCAGAGGACGCTGGGGAGGATCATGGGAAACACCCTCAGAAGGCAGACAGAGGGGCAAGAGAGGCAAGCCAGGCAGGGGGCCTTATGAAGAAACCAACCCTACCAGGGCCAGCGAGATAGCTCAGCAGACTAAGTGCCAGCTGTGGCGAGCACAGGAACCAGGGTTCGATCCCCAGTCCCGCATGCCATGCTGGCCCCACCACTGGGGCATGCTGAGCCTGCAACAGAGTCCAGGTGTGGTGGCGCATGCATGTAATCCCAGCACTGGGGAGGCTGAAAGCAGGAGTATCACCGTGAGTCTGATCCGAGTAGTGAGACCCTGTATCAAATACAGAAATGAAAGAAACCAACCCTACCAACTGATCTCGGACTTCCAGTCTTCCGGAGGCTGAGACGGCACATATTGTCTAAGTCCAGCTCAACCATGCTGTTCTGTTACGGCCGCTCTAGCAACCAGGGCACGGAACTGTAACCAGATAGAAAGAAGCAAGGCCAGAATGCCACCCATCGGGGTAAAGAAAGCACACGGGAGGACACACTCACAGGCAGGTCAGTCCTCTGCTGTTCTAGTGGAAACAGACCACAAGTGTTAAGAAAATGATCAAGACATGAAGACGCGAGGAGTAAGAAAAGCTGAGAAAGACGGTAATAATAATAGACTCGAACCATTTCAGAAATAAGGAGCACACTAGCAGGACGCAAAAGGGGATGCATTTTTGAAACTAGAAGTTGAAGTTGAAAATGGAAGCTACGGGGCCAGGGGTGTAGCCCCACACCCCGAGGTAGCCTCCCGCACAGTGCCTGCCTGGCAAGTGTGAGGCCCTGAGCTTGATTCTCCATACCAAGAAGAAGAAAAAAGGGGCAGGGGATGGAAACTGAGAGGAGGAACCATTTTTAAAATAGAAATAACAAAAGAGATGAAAGGCTTAAAGAAAAAATGACTATTATTCAAAATATGCCAGGAAGATCCAACATATGGATAAGAGGCATCTCTGAAGAGGAAACCCCAAGCAAAGCACAGGGAGGGGAGGGGGTGGCAGATACTATAAATGACAACTCAAGAGAACTTCCTATTAACTAAAACAGAAAAGACAGAGATTGGAAATTTCGAAGTGCAAAATACATGTGGTAGCGCATGCCTGTAATCCCAGAAAGCTGAGGCCTATCACACCCCAGCCTGAGTTACGTAGCCAAACGCCATCTCAAACAAACAACCGAAAAACAGACCCAGGAATATCCGTCAGCCCACAACCAACACCAAGACATATTTCTGTAAATTATTGCACTGTACAGAAGGGGAGTGGTACAAATTATGGACATCTGGGCAAAACCAGTGATTTTAAGAGAAACATATATGTTATATTAAGAGAAACACATACAGAGTTTCTGGCAATAGTGTCTTCCAAGAGAAAAAGATGTCCCATACTTAGGATACTAAAAAAAGTGTAAGCCAGTGATTTTTATATGTAGCAGAATTGATTTTACGTTGAAAGAGCACAGCTATTACAAACATGCGGGAACTGACGTAGAGCTCCCTGTGGAATTACAACCAAATAACTGTAATCAGAGTGACGTGGCGTGAATTGCTGGATAGCTCAGATGATGTATAGTATTGGGTGAAATGTATCAAACAAGTTACTAATTGTGTTTGTGATGATTTTATTTTTATCTTTTTTTTTTTTTGTATTTTTAGGGAAGGGCCTACAGGCTATTCAGGGTCTCACTACTAGATCAGACTCATAGTGGTCCACCCGTTTATAGCCTCCCAAGAGCTGGGGTTATAGACTTGCGCCACCACGCCCAGTCTCAATTGCCATCCCAGCGCGCCCTGGGGGCAGGGCCAGCACCACAGGCCCAGGGATTGAACCCCTGGCCCCTGCGCCTGTTTGCAGGCACTTTAACCTGGTGAGCTATTTGGCAGGCCCTTCCTCTGGTTTTTTGAGACTGTCTCGCTATGTAGTTCAAGCTGGCCTTGAACTCACTTTGTAGCCCAGGCTGGCCTCAAGCTTGCAGCGGTCCTCCTGCCTCAGCCGCCCAGTGCTGGGATCTCAGGGGTGCGCCACCACCCCCAGCATGTGACAGTTACCGTGGCGGCATGAGACGGCCACGTGTGAAGCGTGGGGTAAATCAGGTAACTACAGGATGCTCTACCGGCCTGTGCTCTGGAGAACCGGGATTGTAACAGGGAGCAAAGATGATTTCTTTGTAATATGGAAAAGATTAAGTCATCCTTGTTTTGAATTGGAAATATCACCACGGACTCACGATGCATTTTATTTTTAAAGTGTCTGCTGAAGAGGCCTGGAAACAACCACTGTTTCTAGCATTCAGTCCCACTTGTATCCAGATTGTGATCTTAAAATATCAGCCCCTCCCCAAACACACATGCACACACACACGTGCGCACGCACACACACACACACACACACACACACACACAAATCAAATCTAGGACTTCTGGGAGAAATGAGTGATTCCAATCCTAGGGCAGTGCCTTGGTTACTTTTCTCATGCTGAGACAAGATACCTGGTACCCAGAGGCCAAGGAGGAAGGGCTTATTTGATTCACAGTCCATGGAGGCTGGGCCCCAAGGCAGGGAGGCACAGCACAGAGGGGAACCGTCAGGGTGAGCAGAAGGTAACAGCAATGAAGGACCTTAACAGCATTTCTTTGGTGGTAGCAGGGATTGAACTCAGGACCTTGCGCTTGCCAGGCAAGCACTTATTCCACTGAGCTATCTCCCTAGCCCCTCTTAACAGCATCTTTCTACCCCTTCTATATTGTATTCATGCTGCTTGGATCAGGGCAGTGCCAACCCAGTCAGCGGATGATTTAGTAATCCTATACCCTCCATGCAAGCATCACACACTCTGGATTCAGCCACTTCTAAGAAAGCCCCACCTAGAGCCACACGAGGCTTTGGGAGGACCTCTAGACACAAACCCTCAGAGGCAGTAAATATTGAAGAGGAGGCTGAACATCTTGTCCACCGAATAGCCCCAAGATACAAAAGACTGTGGGCCCAGAGCAGTAGGCATGAGCTGCATTTTCTCTGACCAAAAATGGAAAAAACTGAGTTTCAACAGATAAAACTAATGGATGAAACCTCTCCAATAAGCTGGGCTGGAGATATAGCATGGTGGCACAACACCAGCCTGGCAAGCATAAGCCCTGAGTTCAATTCCCAGAACCAAAAAAAAAGTTCAATTTATGAACTCATACTGATACACATTTGATACCAGGACCTTGCACTTGCCAGGCAGGCGCTGTCGGCTGCGCTGTCTCACTGGCCACGGTACTAATATTTTTTGAAAAATCATTTGGAAGCTGCGTGTGGTGGTGCACACATGTAATTCCAGCCCTTGAGAGGCTGAGGCAGGAGGCTCACCAGGAGCTCAAGGCCACTCTAGGCTATGTGGTGAGTTCAAGGCCAGCCTGGGCTACGCAGCAAGACCTGGCTCAAAACAACCACCACACACATGCGCACCAAACAAATCAAAAGTCAAGGAAGAGAATGACAGAAACCTAGGTGGCTCATTGCCCTGATAACTGGCCAATATGGCGTGCTGTCCCAACCTAGAAATTCGAAAACAAGAGTCCATCAGCATTCACAGTCCCCCCAGGTAGTCATCACACAGGATGAAGCCAGACGCCGGGCCCCAGTGGAGCACACATGCCATCATCTTCTCACGGTGCAGGACCCGTGTCTGGGACGTCAGTGTGCAGGGCCAGGCAGGGGAGCCCCCGGAGGTGCACCGCGGGGTGCAGTCGGGCAAGCTCAATACAGCTCCACGGAGCTGAGCGCTGCAGCACACGACCGCGCGGCGGCTACGGTAGAGGGAAAGCTCCCCTGGTGCTGTGAGCGCCCAGCAGAGCCTCGAAGAAACCGGGCAGGACCAGCTCTGGGCTCGGCCAGGGGCCACTGGTGGGGTGGAGGAGGGTCTGTGTGGCCTGGTGTAGGCGAGGTGACCTCTGCTGGCTCCCAAGGCTTCCTTCTGGACCTGGGTGGTGACTGCACAGAAATCTGCCTTACGGTAACTCACGAAACTGGACTTTCGCATTTGTGGTTTTGGGTCTGTGTTCTGTGATAAAGCAGGCGGCGAGCAAATGCCAGCATGGTGCTGGAACACAGCGGGGAGCCACCTCAGCCCCCTCGTGTCCTGCAAGCCCGCGGTGTGGGCGTGGCTCTGCGGGCTGGGTCCCTGCGCGCCTCGCCGCCCACCTGCTCCGGGGGCCCCAGCGCATGCGCAGGTGGCACAGTTGGCCAGTCTCCAGGCTGTGCCTACCTGCTGCCAGGCCAGGAGGAAGCCGAGGGCATCCCCCAGGTGTGGGACCAGGTCCTCTGCGGGAAGGGCCACGTGGTGTCCCTGCAGAGCAGCTGAGATGCAGAGGTCACCATTGTGCCCTGGTGGCACTGCATCAGGGCCGGGTGCTCCCCAGCCCGGCCACCCGCTGCTGTCCCCGGCCTGCTCCCACGGGAGCTGCAGCTCCGGCTCCACCTTCTGCCTCACTTGCTGTGGTTTCCCGCAGGCTCCGCCAGGAGAAGACAGATACCGTCCGCTGCATCCGGTCCTGCCGCCCGAACGACGCGGCCTGTGTCCGGGACCCGGTGCACACCATCTCTCACACTGTCATCTCACTGCCCACCTTCAGAGAGTTCTCCCGCCCTGAAGGTGAGCGGACTGGAGTCGGGGTCCCGGGCCCCCTGGGGAGCCTCCCTCTGCTCAAGCTTCAGGCTCGGCTTGCATGAGCCCCTTTGCTAGGTGTGGTTAGGGGCTAAAGGCCCTTCCCCGGCGGGCCTTCTCCACGGACCCAGGCTGCAAAGCGCCGTCCACCCCATTCTGACTCTCAGTTGAGTATGATGGCCATTCCGCAAAGCTGTGCAGTGCTGGTTCTGTGCCAAACCCCGAGGATTCTGGGCAGGGTTCTAGGCGGAAGTGACATTCACGGTGGCACTGGAGTGGGAAGTGATCCCATGGAAGGGGAGGTGGGAGGCTCCCAACCAGTGGAGGTCACAGCTGTTGCAGCCCCTAGGTGAAGTGCAAGGGTGGGCACTGAAGGACCAAGTCACATTGTTCTGGCTGAATGGCAGCCACTTGGCAGGCTGGCTTGGAAGGATGGGCAAGAGCCTGGGCTTAGAGCCCCCCGCCCCCCCGACAGCTTTGAGGACTCCTTGGGGCTGTGCTGATGGCATATGCACACTGAGACAAGGGACGGGGTGCCTGCAGTTGCACGGCCAGTGTCCTCATCCTCCGCCTGGCTCTCTAAGGAGCTCCCGGCACGCTGGGTGAACCTACTGTCACTGTACACTTCCGGGACAGGGATGCAGCGGTGCTTCTGTGCCCAGCAGAGGCTACTGCTGGGTGTGCAGCTGGATGCCAGCACGGAGCGGTCCTTGGCCCCTCTTTTGCTCTGTAGTCCCTTCTCTGGCCCTCCAAGGGGCTGTCCACTACTAGGCCACCCAGCAGCCCTAAACCCCGTATGTCAGGCTGAGGAGACACAGCGGCAAAAAGTCCTTTCCTCTCAGGCAACACTTGCAACTGTGCTCACCAGGACAAACTGTCCAGGATGGCTTGCCATGCTGGCACTGTGGCAGGGCCATCTGGCAGTCTGAAGAGGGCAGCACAGACCCCCAGGACAGGGCAGCCCCAGCCCTGCCTCCCTCCTGCTCCAGAGAAGGAAAGGCCCAGCACCTCCCCGGGGGCCACAGGCTTGGGTTGGCAGAACTCACTGACTGGTGTTGACCTTGCGCAGTGACAGGCTTCACCAAACCACAGCAAATCCTTCCCAAACCCCCACTGCTGGCCCTGTGGCCTCTCCAGCCAGGAGGGGTGGCAGCTGATCTCACTGGAAGTCGGGCACACTCCAAGATACCTTTCAGCGTCTTGGGCCCACGAAATCCAGAGCCTGACCTTTAGACGGACAGGTGAAGAGACTGATGCCTCGGGCAGCCTCCTGGGAACCCCCCTGCTCCCAGGCCAGGGGGCTCAGCCCACTTCGCAGTCAGGGGTCTGCAAGAGGCACCAGCCTCAGCTGCCCATGGCCACCCAAGACGGGCCAGGCTGACCCGGGCAGCTGGGAGCCGAGGGAGCCAGGTCCTTTGGCCACCCCTCTCTCCCACCTCTGTCCCCTCCCCCAGCTTCATGAATACTCATAACTAAGCTCTAGTGACTTCTCAGTGTAAGCCCTGCTGCCCACTGGCTCTGTGGCCTCCGGGAAGATCCCCAAATCCCTCCAGACCTCAGTTTCCCCTGATAAGACAGGGCCAGACTACACTGGCATGCTCAGGTCCCACCCCTCCCCCACTTCCCCGGCCGAGGCTTCACTTCCGGGGCCAGTCTGCTCCATGCCCAGCCTCTCGCTGCAGAGATCATCTTCCTGCGGGCCGTCACGCCGCTGTACCCCGCCAACCAGGCCGACATCATCTTCGACATCACGGAGGGGAACCTTCGAGACTCCTTTGACATCATTAAGCGCTACATGGACGGCATGACTGTGGGTGAGTGCCCCTCCGCTGCCACCCACCCAGAGCCTTAGCCGAGGCCTGTGGGCTTATGCTATGGGGTCCCCTTCCCGACTCCGACCCCTCCTGTCCTTCGGGGGCCGGTGCCACAGCCCCAGCGCAGGTGAAGCCGGCTAGGATCCACCCTGGCAGCCTCAGTCTCTCCACCAATGACAGCAGTGGGTTAAACGCATCCACTCCCATGGACGTGATTCCAAGGCTGTCCCACGTGAGGGCGTTTGTGCCAGGGCTCACTGAGTTTTCTTTTTGTGATGCAGCGCGGAGGGGGGAGCTGTAGTCTGGGCCGTGACTTGCTGTATGACCTGAACGGGTCCCCATCCCTTCCCACCTGTCATTGATCATAAGAGGACCCAGGCCTCCCTGCAGAGTCAAAGGTGATGGGACCAGGCTGGTCCAGGACACCCCGGTGCAGGGGGCACCAGGTGGAGGACTGGGGTGAAGAAGAACGAGGAAGGTTGTGCAACACAGGAACCCGAGGGCCAGGCTGGGAGTGAGGGGAACCTTAGAAGTCCGGTGGCGGCTGCCAGCTGTGACGAGGCCACCGTGGCCTTCAGTTTGACCCACACCCCTAGAAGCCACTCAGACCCACCCACCACACTCAGCAATGGCTTCTCTCACAATGCCTCAGCTGTCGCCATCTAAGTAATTTTTACCGGTGGGGAAGTAATTCACATCTGCCACTTTGGACTTTGGTTTATACTCTGGACACTTCCAAAGCAGTGCAGCAGTGGAGGGACAGTCCCTGCCCTCCCCCGCCGGCCTGAGGGTCCCCATGGTGAGTGCTGGATTCTGCGTAGCCAGGGCAGAGCCATTTGGAACACGGCCTCCAGGTGGCGCTGTTGTACCTCAGAACCTCCACCACGGCCGCCCCAAACTCGACGGTTGTTACCCTGGCAGCTAGAGAAAGGGGATCGTTATTCCCCTGTTGCCAAAGAGCCATTTATAGCGACTTTATAAGCTCTTAAATGGGTCTGCATGTTGTAAACACGGCTGAGTCACTTGGGGGCTCCCTGCCGCCAGCCACCTCCTCCGCTAGTTGGCAGCAGGAATAATTAGTTAATTACAATTAATGGTGCGTCAGCCCTCGCTGGGATCCCAGGGGAGGGCACACGCTCAGGTGCCAGCTGCCATAAACGTGCTGCTTGCCCTCGCATCGGTACCCACGCTGGGACTCAGTTTCCCTCACTGTAAGACGAGAGCTGAGAGAAGGGGCCATGAAGGGTCCCTTCGTGGTGGCTGAGAGCGGAGAACACTGGGAAATTCCGAGGGCTGGCGCTGCCTGGCTGGCCTGCAGAAGTCACTGTGCGCCAGCCCTGGGCCTACCTAGTCTGTGGGTGTGGCTGGAACTGGCCTCAACCCTGGGGTGGTTCCAGGTGGCTCCACGTGCCTCATGTTCCCAACTAAGTCTTCCTCTTAGGGTGGGAAATCCTTCTGTGCAGGAAGCCAGGCCCAGGCCCAGACCCAATGCGGCAGCCCGCAGCTGCACCCTGGGCAGAACCGCACCCCGGCAGCTTCTGTTTCTTGGTTTCCCATCCCCTGGGGCTGAAAACCCTGGCGTCTCCTGGAAACTGTGGCTCCTGCTTTTTACAGATAGGGAAACCGAGGCCCAGAGGGGGAAAAGGTCTTCTCCCGGTGATGCGCAGGCAGAGCAGGCGACCGGGCCCTAGGGTGTGAGCACTGGCCACAGAGGCTGTTCCAGGAGGGCCTTCCTGGGAGTGCAGTGTGAGTCCTCCCAGCTTTGCGTAGCCATGGTGCAGGGGTCTCTGGAGTCCTGTGCTCAGGATGCCCAGGTGCCCTGCTGGCCCTTGGGAACTCCTCCTGCCCACACATGGGCCCCTTTCCACTCCATGGTGTCCACAGGGTGTTTCATCCCATCTCCAAGTCCTCTACTGGGAACCAGACCCGGCAGGTCCTGCAGCAAGGGGACCAGGCCTGTGTTTCTGGCTTTTGTCCTCTCTGACCTGCAGTGGTGACCTGCGCCTCATTCTCAGTTTGGGGCGTCGCCCTGGCTGCCTTCTCCCCTGCCTGCTCCCATCGATGGCCCCAGCTCTGTCCATTTGGTCACAGAGGCTTCTCCTGTTGGACCTAAACCCGGAGCCAAGGGGCCCTGGGTGCAACCTTGAGCCCTCGCGGCTCCCCGCCCTTCCTTCGTGCTCACCCCTGCATTCCTATGCCACCCTCAAAAACCCGCCCGGGCCGAGGCCCGAGCTGTGCCTTGGGCAAAGGAAGGAATGGAATGAAGTGGCCGCAACTGAGTAACTGCAGAGCCGGGGGTGTGCTGGCTTTAGGCTTGTCCCGGGCGGCGCGGAGCTCATGGCAGGCACTGGCTGAGAAGGCAGTGGGGGCAGAAATGTTTCTGGGGGTGCAAGCTGCTCTCCACTGTGGCCTGGGAGGCTGCAGAGCCCCGGTGTGACTCCAAGCAGCACGCCTAACAGGGCATCTGCCAGCTCGTGGCGCTCGCTGACCACTGGCTGCCCTGGGCCTTGGCCTGGGCCCAGCTCTTTTCTAGGTGGCAGATGCTGGACATATTGGGGGGCTGGGCGGGGCCGGTGCTGGCTGGAAATGGGCTTTCATGACAGGCAGCATGAAGATGCTGGCCCGGGTCATTTTGCACACTCATTTCTAGGTAAGCCCTACGGTCTGATTCAGCTGGCTGTGGGCGTGTCAGTGTGAACGGGGAGGCAAGTGTGTGAGTGTGCCTGGTGTTTGAGCCTCAAGCTGCGGGACCAAGCATGGCCCTGTGGCATCAGGCCAGAGCTCGTATCCCTAGCCCAAGTCTTCCCCAGGCTCAGGGACAGCTAGGATTCTGCCGAGCTGCGGAGTTGCCTAGTGCTGCCCCCAAGCATTCGCCAGAGTCCTTTCATAGCCATGGCATTAGGTCCTCACGTTGCCTCATGGGCTGGCAACCACCTGGGCTGGCATCATCATTTATGAGAAAAACCACAAGTGCCTAGCCCAGTGGTGGTGCATACCTGAAATCCCAGCCCTGTGGGAGGCTGAGGCAGGAGGATTGCAAGTTCAAACCCAGCCTGGGCAATGTAGGGACTTAGTAAGTTCCTTTTCAAAATAATAATAATAATAATAATAATAATAATAATAATAATAATAAAAGGGCTAGGAATATAGGCCAGTGTGAAAGGCCTGGTTCAAACTCACGATGGGATGGGGGTCCTGGCCTAGAGTCCCACGGCCAGCAAGCCAGAGCCACAGGTCCCAAGCAGGTCGGCAGTCTGTTCTCTGCCCTGCACTTAAGACCCCAGGCAACCCGTGGGCACAGCTACTGCAGGATCCTGGGAAGATGCTCTGGACACCACACCAGCCAGGACTGGTGACCTGAAGAGGACAGGCCGGCTCCCCTGTGCGGCGGCCACCGTATGAGGGCCAGGGAGCAGTGCCTCAATGACAGAGCCCAGTCAGCGTGAGAGGCACATGACTTCCGCGGCAGCCCGCAGTGGTGTCAGTGGCCAGGGCTAGAGAGAGCAGGCGCTCTGCGCGTGTGAGTGCTCTCTGTGTCTGCCTCAGGCTGGCCAGGACAGAAGGTGGCCCAGGTGTGGTTAGGAGAGACACAGAGGACGCAGGGGGCAGAACCCACTCAGAGCAGGAATGGGCACTCCAAAGCCCCAGAGAGGAGGGCAGCATGCGGAGGAGTGCCCAGGCTGGGTACAGGAATGGGGCCATGGTGGAGGCTTGCAGCACAGTGTAGTCCTGGTTACTGCCAGGCAAGGGGCTTCCCCACAGGGTCTTAGTGGGTGCGCCAGTTCTTGGGGGCCCTGTAATGGTGAGCTCATCTACATTGTCCCTGCAGAAGGTGGGGTCTTGGCCTGTCCCTGGCTGTGGTCCCGGGGGGGGGGGTAGATCTGCATACGGTAGGGGACTGGATGGCCACACCAGGAGCTGGGAGGAAGTAGTCCTGGGTGACTGAGTCCTGCCAGTGGGACGAAGTCTGATGTCTATTCAGAGTGGACACTAGCCAGGGGCCATGGTGCACTCCTGGGATCCCAGTGCTGGGAGGCTGAGGTTGGAGGCTCAAAAGTTCAAGCCAACCTGGGCAACTGAGTGACTTTATGGGACACTCTCTCAAAATGAAAAATAGAACAGGACTAGGGATGTGGCTCAGGAGAAGGACAAGTGAAAATAAGAAAAGGCCACCAGAACTTGAAGAGGAGGGTTGAGCAGGTTGCGTGTGCGATGCTGCCTGGGCCCATCGACACGGAGCCTGAGCCTAAGCGAGTATAAGTGGTAACAGGGCTGCTGGGCCTGGTGCGGGCTGGGGGAGGGGGAGGGGAGGGGGAGGGCCTGGCCCCCCCCCCCCCCCCCCCCCCCCCCCCCCCCCCGCCCCCGCCCCCTCCCCACACACCC